TTTCTTTGCCAGCTTATTAGCCGCTGAGGACCCCAGACGTCTCGCCGGTCTTGATCGTTGCTATTTGGAGTAACCAAATTGGAATCCAAGCGACAATGAAGACTCAAAGAACAAAGGAACCCCCAATCCGAAGTCTCTCTACCTCTTCTCTTCACGTTCTCTCGCAGAAGATCGATCCACTCTTTGCCTGAATCATAGAATTGGTTCATCGGCTCTTGCTTCAACTGTTCAACCGCCTCTGCTTGAACCTGAATCCAGAATCCCTTCTGGCTCTTCTGCGCACCAGGTTTGTCGGTTGAGTCAGTGTGATGTTTAATAGTCACTATTACAGAGTGTTGTTCAAAGCCTTGGCTTCGTGCCTTCCTCAGATTGCCGGTACCCTCACTATTTCTCGTTTTGCGGCCTTTTCTCTTTCACAGATGATTTAAAAGACTAAACCAAGATACTTTGCTGGATTCCCAGGTCTCACAATGAATCATCCTGTATGCGTTCTTCCTTGCCTGCTTGGAGTGAAAATTTAGTTATCATTTTTAAACTCCAAATCTAATAAAAACATATGCTTCATTAGGTATTTAATTCTTAAATTACTTATTTATTGTTTAGAAACTTCACATATACCTAAATTCTTGTTGATCGTATATTGATTTCGAGTGTCATACCTTTGTTTCACATGTTTGATGAAATGCCTAACTCAAATTCTGTTTGCTACGGAGTATTATGTTATGCATCACCTTCTTTACTTTTTTTTTTCCTTACAACTTATTTGTGACCGACATTTCAGGGATACTTTCTTAGTTGCTTATGAATTTGACTTTAGTGGTGGTCCTGCTATTCTCTTAAGATGTTCAAAGTTGACGTAAGTGAATAGGCTAAAAAGGTTCAAAAGTGTAAGTTTGAGTTAATAATTTTCATTTTAGTAATTCATCTCTACAAACTTATAAATGTGAATGAAGGTTAATAAAGCCCTTTTGGGAATAAATTTTTTGTTGGTGTCACTCGTGAGCAAAATGTAGTTGTGCGGTAGGTTTTAGCCATTGTACTAATTATTTTGATATTATAGATGTGTCTATTTCCGTTAAAGATTAAAGCCAGACCGACGTTTATTTTATCTATTTTCTATTAAACATTCTCTTCCAAAAATGATGCCCCATCTTTGAGAAGAATGTGAAGGCCAGTTCTTTCAAAGGCTTTGTCTCACACCCTTCGAGGCTCCGATCAGTGGGTGAGGAATCTTTGGCTCTATCGAACATACATGGACTTGGAGGTAGCATTCTACCATGTCAAGAAAGCAGCTTACAAGCAGATGAGATTGAACCTATAGACTATTTTCTCATTTCCCTCTCATACGACCATGAATGTTAATCCTAGGGTATGGATTATTTCCCAACAATCTAAGTTTTATTTCGTACGGATTGTTTTTCCCTTCCAAATTTAAGTATCTTTCTCAACAAAGATTTGTGTTTTAACTTATATGGGGCACTCATTTTTTCATCTTTTGTTTGAAAGTGCAAGGGGCTCAAAACTCCTATTCACTTTAACTGGTTTTAATACAGTTTTAGGTAGAAGCTTCTTGAATTCATGTTAGCAGATCTCTATGATGGTGGAAAAAGAAAATCCTAACTGATAAGAGACTGATTATATACATAAGCTTTTGGATGCCTTGCTAAATTCTGGGGATAGATTGGTCATTGTTGACTGGCACAGTTCTATTCATCTGGTTCTGGCGGTTGCAAGCTATACAAGATTACACTTGAGAATTACACTCAGTTCATCTTACACTAGAGAATCACACAATCAGTTCAACTGGTTGTGATAGACTAAGATGTTATTTCCTACTCAAAGAAACAACAATAAAGCTCATATTACACCAGAGAATTACGCTCGTACATAGACTATACCATATCGTCTCAACAGCTATGTGCTTCAAAATTATTTTTCTTATACATTATCCTCCATCGTTAAGTTACATTCATGAGAAAACATCACATGCTTGAAGTTGTCCTTTAGCTCTAGAATTATTTGTATTTTTCTATGGTGGTGTAATATTGTGTATTTGATGGTTGTTTAGTTTTCCATAATTTATGATCACATTTAATATGAGTACATGAATGCCAGGTTGAGTAGGCAACTTGACCTGTTTTGCCCGGGAGAACAGTGGCTAATTACTTTTAAATCAATGGCAGACCATATCTATACTATATTGTTTTTTATGGATGGTATTTGACCTTTGCTTTAGACATATACTTTTAAACTTGGAATAACTTTCTATGAGTATATAAATATCTCAGGAGATTATTGATTTAGTCAAGTTGGAGTGTTAAAGGGAGTGTGGTGGGTTTGTGTAGAAATTTATTGTATATTTATGTTTATGGATTACTTATGATATGCTTTCAAATAAAATTGTGATTGAGCTAAATATGACTTGAAATCAGAATTCCTTTGCATCTTTTTGTGCCCAAATAATATTTCATTGTAGGACAGTTTTATTGTGGTTTAGAAGTGTTTTCCAAATTGATATCATCGGTTTAGAACTTGATGATTTGCTTTAAAATGAACAAACCTGCTCAATGAATCTATTTGTCTTAATCTCTTCAAATTTACTGCAACATAAAAACTAACATGTGATGGAGATACAGTTTACTTTTGTGTTGTAAATGCAAATATGCAGTCACTTTTTATAAAAAGAAAATGAAGAAATTGGCTGATGGGATCTATTTGATTATCTTTTTATTTGTCATTTGATTATATTCTAGCACAATTCTCAAGTTACAACTCTCAAGGATTACTCATCATTAAAAGAGGAGTCCATATTCTTTTAGCAATATTAGTTTAAGCATTCCTGGCAACACTTGAAGTTCTACCCTCCATGTACTATAAAGTATAAATAAATAAAACTTAAGAGAGTGTTTTCTCGTGATTTCATTTTATTCTGAATTTGATTAATTTGAAGTCAATTACATTCCAGTCTTCTTGTTTTTTGTTTTGCAGATTTCATTCATTTGATTCTCAAGAGATTCAGTTGAAAACATATATAGAGTTGAATGATTGAAGGAGCATATGAATGATTGAACCTATGCTTTGCAGCATTTGATGGTGGAAAAATATTATGTATAAAGTTTGTAATTTCAAACATATCCATTATATTGATAAATATTCATTCCATTAGTCTACCGAAATAGCATTGGGCATTTTCCTATCGCGCATCGCGCGTCGAAAACTAGTATAAAAATAAAGATAACAAGGTTAGTTATCAAAAGCAGCGATGCATATTCGTTTTAGTAGGGGCAATTTAATAAATTATCTCACCCATTACAAAATATTAATTATATAAAGCTTTGCCTAATATCTAATTACCCTCAATGAAAAACCAAAATTGATTAGCCTCGATAGCACACATCTAAATATTACTACATATATAAATATGGTACCATACGTACTTATCATATTACCAGGGTTCTCTTAAGAGAAAATATCCAAAATAGGACAAAACCTTTTGAAATTTCAAAAGATGAGTGCTATTACATTATTACATATGTACTTTTGTTATGTAAATGTTTTTACTTCTATTTATGCAATTTCTTTTCTCTTAATGAAGCGTTGCATTGAGTTTCAACCAATGTATTGCTATGGTTTTCTTCAATTGCAAATGTTCCATATTCACAGTTTTTAACGTGTTTATAGAGAATAAAAGGAACTTCATCCGAGTAACAAATATTTACACAATAACTATAACATGTTCATGCAAAAATGGGTGGGGCAGGGGGCGACGATGTCCAGGGCTGTGGCTGCTGCCGGAGTGTGTGCCTCTGTGGCGGCCAGAGTGTGTGCGGTTGTGGCTGCCGGAGTAGTGGGTGTTGCTAGGGCGGCTTTTCCTTGAATTTACCTAATTGAAGCTAATTTTTTCTAAAAAGACCATTTTAAAAGGACAAGAATGTGATTACAAAGGTCACATATATGGAAAAACATTATGTCACCGTTTTACAATTGTTTGAAAACAGGGAAATCAATACACAAACTTTGAATTTTAAATTGAATTTCAAGAACGTTCGGGAGCGGGGTGTCACAGATGTAATGAGTTCTTTGAAGGCTGAAAATCTGACCTTCCTATATGTCACCAAAACTCCCACAATCGGAAACCCCAGACTGTTCTCCCCACTCCGATTATCCTCAAGTTTGAATTCATCAAAATCGAGTTCTTCTTCCTCCGTGCCAGTCACCATCTTTTTGTACTGTTCCACGATGTTTTCCATACAACCTTGCTTTCCCAGATAGCGAATCGATTCGCTGGTCTGTATTTGCTCCTCCGCCTGCTGCTCTGTCGCCTTGGCTTTCTCGTCCAAAATTATCCACGAAGTCGTCGATCTGAAATCCAGCCTCCTTCGACGCCCTCCTTACAAATCCTGTACGTACCTCATACACAGGTGGCCGGAACCCTATAGTGGACGATCAAAAACTAGCAGTTGCCCTGCGGCAACCCTAGAGAGAGATAAAAAGCACCTCTATACCTATAAATAGATAATTTTTATTAAAATTTGAGACACAATTTTGACCATTAATATATACGGAGTATAATTATGCATTAGTAAAAAAATTAAACAAAAAGATTTTGAAAATTTACAAAGAGACCAATTTAAAATAATTACATATGTATGACTAAACAAAAGATTGTTAACAAAAATGTGACTAATGATTAAAACAGTAATGAGATTACAGTAACTTATGTTCAATTTTTAAAATTAATTACTAAGAGACAACATTGTAATAACTATTAATAATATTTATGTATATACGTTATATTTTAGTAACATTTTTGTAAAAGACTTAAAAGTATACCATTTAAATGGTGTGAAATTTAAGCTCTTCCATGTTTATTGAAGGGAGGTATATTTCACCATTTCTTACCAAGTACTCTGTAGTCCGTAGTAGTTTGGGAGGCCATTTACCTGTGTAAAGCGCGCCCGGCTATTTTGACAATTTTCTGGCAATGCTAGCGCGACCTGAATCGTCGGATTCTCGAGTCATCGCCCACGTCGATTTGGATTGCTTCTACGTTCAAGGTCTCTCCTTAATTTCCAAACTCTGTTCTTTCCTCTTCTTTGCAGTACTTGCTTTATACAGTAGCTTCTTCCTGCATCTCCAACGGAATTACCTTTAACTCTTTAAGCTGTGTTAAATTAGGAGACGACCTTGTAAATCCCTACTATGCCTGTATAAATAAAGCATAAATGTTGGAATTTATTCGTATTCTCCACCATAATGTGTTTTCGAGTAATTCTTTTGTTCTGTTGTGTTGGTTTCTCTCCATCAATTTTTGTCATGATCATAATGCGGTAGCATCTAACTGGTAGATTTTATCTACAGTGGAACAACGCAAACAACCAAGTCTAAGAGGTCGACCTACAGCAGTGGTGCAGTACAACTCCTGGCAGGGTGGCGGCCTGATAGCTGTCAGTTATGAGGCCAGGAAATTTGGGGTTAAGCGGTAATGCATAATGCATTTGTTCTCTGATTTGGCTAAAGATGTATTCACAAGCATGATTGACAGAATGACAGCAAGTCTTCATCAATGTATCTGGTTTGCAATCTTATAGCTCAATGCGAGGGGATGAGGCCAAGCAAGTCTGTCCTGAAATTCAGCTTGTTCAAGTCCCAGTTGCTCGTGATAAAGCAGATCTTAATACATACAGAAGTGCAGGCTCAGAGGTCTAAGAGATTTAGAAGAATCCCTCTGCAATATGCTTGTAGTATGCCTTCAATATTTGTTTTTAACATTCTCACAGGTGGTATCCATTCTTGCTAGGGAAGGTACATGCGAACGGGCTTCAATTGATGAAGTCTATCTTGACCTCACTGATGCTGTACAGAAAATGTTGAAAGAGACCCCCACTATGAACATGGAAACAATCAGTGAAGAAGCAGCTAAATCACATGTTTTAGGGGTCGATAAGGTGTATAGCGCAAACTCTTTAGTTTCTACTGAATTCTCTCATGATAGTGATAATAATACATAGTAGAAACAACATGAACCGAACCTATATATCATACTATAAGTTATGGTAAATATAGCAAACTCAGTTTAATGGAAATGGGAGGTGCTATAGATTTTGTTTTTTTCAAGCCATAGAGGCACATTCCAATCACGCAATATTGATGGTATACATTGCTTTGCCCCCAGGCCCGCCATAGATGGTCTTTGGGAGACTACCCCGGCATAGTGTTTTGGCATACTTAAAGCATTGGGCTAACCCAGTATAGAATCAGCCTATTTGTCTCTGCCTTCCCCTGCTTGGCTGGATAACCCCAGAAACTATCAAGCTCTTTGTTCAAAGCCAGTCAAAGCTTGGAGCACTTTTCCAACCAATTGTCTGGAGTTTGTGTGGATACCTTCCCTTCTTTACTTATTATAGTTGGCTAGCCAGGTGGGCTTGGCCCAGAACATAGTTAGGCTCATTGGCTACACACTCACCCCTTCTGTGTGTGGAGGAGGGTACGTCTACATCATTTGCAAGATATACTTTCTCAGTTTCTCTCACTAGAATTTGATGCCCAAACTCTCCTTTCTTCTTACTTTTTCTCTCTACCCTGGTCCCTAGTGAAAATCAAGTATTCACGCTTCTCCTCTTCATTTTAACTAACAGTGCCTTGGTATACTTGTTGAGGAGTTCTTCCTCTCATGCCTTTTTCACAAGATGTATTGTTTTTACCCCCTGGTGATCTTGCTGGCTTGCTGCCACATCAATTATCTCACTCAGTTGAAGTGTGGATTCTTGAGCATTGAAGCGTCTATCGTGTTTACTGATACTCCCTCCGTATTCTAAAGTTTGCTACACTTTCCCTTTTGGGATGTATTTAAAAGTTTGCTACACTTTCCCTTTTTGGTAAGTTTTTTCCTTTAAAAATACCCAACTACCCTTACTTTTTCTACTTTTTATCTTCTCTTTCCTACTTTTTCACCCTCTCTCCTACTTTTTCTACGCTATTCATTACCCCTACTATTTTCTCCTTAAATATTGTTCCAAAACCTAATGTAGTGATCTTTACAATACGGAGGGAGTATATAAAGTTAGAGAATAGCTCCTCTTAGACTGGGATAATGTATTAATCTTGTGTGTCATATTTTTATTATCATCACCTTTCTTTTGTACAAGTGATAATGAACCATGATTTTTAAATATGTGAGTCATCTCTTCCTTTTACACAAGCAGAACTCTCGTCCAAATGAAGAAAGAAAATAGAAGCACCTTCCGAAAGATAGGAAAGTGTACCTGCACATTTTAAGGAAATGACCAATGAAGTTTTTATACTTAATATTTCCTTTGTATTGGTATTGCTTGTTATCTTCGAATACGCAACTTTGATGGAATGATGATTTAGAAAATGTATTTTCAGGTTTATTTCGTTTGTCCAAATTTGTATGCTTAATGTTGTGTTATTGGTTGCAATGTCATCCTAGATATTGGTCTCAATTGCAGGATGAAAATGACAGTGTTAGGAAGTGGCTGTGTAGAAATGATGCAGATTACCATGACAAGTTGTTAGCCTGTGGGGCCCTTATTGTTGCAGAGCTTAGGCTGCAAGTATTAAAAGAGACAGAATTTACATGTTCTGCAGGGATTGCTCATAATAAGGTGGGAGGCAGACGTAGGACATGCAAAAATTTAGATATTGATTTTATTCAATGATGTTTAGTCTCATAATCCTAATATGATGCACCTTACAGATGCTGGCCAAACTGGCTAGTGGGATGAACAAGCCTGCGCAGCAAACGATAGTTCCCTCATCATATGCCATGAAATTACTTGAAGCATTGCCTATAAAGAAAATGTAAGTTCTCCTCAATTTGACCCGTTCTCATAAAATTAATAAGTTGTGCCCAGCATGCTGTCTGGCTTCTCCTACTCTTTGAAATTTCAATTTGATCTGGATTTTGTCTTGTCATCACGATTTTCCCCTAGAGTTTTAATTGCAGGCAATTATTTTGATGAGATTTTATTGTTAATGTGTTTTGCTTTACACGATAGTTTTAGTATTGATTCCTTCTTGAGAGTAAGAAAAGACTTGTATTCCTTGACCCCAATGAAATTACAATGCCATACTTAGAAAAATGTAGTAAACCAAGGGGCATAAAACCATGTGCTAAACTTAAACTATGTATTGTGAGATCATAGTTTATGATATTGTGGGGTGAGAGACCTACGATCTGTTAATATTTAACAATTCTGCATTTCAGTTTGTCATGCTTTGAGCTGCAATGTAGTGCAGGAAACAACTTGGTGGAAAGCTTGGGACTTCATTGCAGACAGACTTGGGTGTGAACACTGTTGGGGATCTGTTGCAGTTTTCAAAAGACAAGTTACAGGAACGTTTTGGCATAAATACTGGGTCACAATCTATAACCACCTTCATAACTGAATATTTTGTTTCCCATATCATGAAATTTTAAGAAAATAATTTAATGTTCTCATTTTTATAGCAACTAGATTTTTAAAAAAACTTCTACTTGTCTAATATTCAATCACCACATGTTTTTCTCAGCACAGTACTTTTTTGTTAGTCAAAGATTTTGCCTAGTACATTGTTTGACTGTTCATATTCCACAAGTTTTGCTTCAACAAACTGATTTCTTATACTCCTTAAAGTAACTGTATCAGGTATTCGGGTTGTGTATGTCAGTGTGTGTATATCTTCATTTGATGCATTTTGCTCTAGTTGTCAGGCAATGGAGTAGTACATACAAGGCTATTCTACTAAAACCATATGGATAATTACTGCAGAACATAATATAAATATAGTTCTGTCTGTATTAGTTACTGTAAAATACCATATTATGAAGTTAAATCAGTCTTCTCTTCTTGAAACCTTTTTTTGATTGCAACAATGTTCTCACTTCCTTATTTTTTGGGTTCTTTTCTCTTTCTCATTTCTCTTTTTGCCTATATTCTTTGCAGTACCTGGTTATGGAATACTGCAAGAGGCATTAACACAGAAGAGGTTCAGGGTCGCCTTCTCCCCAAAAGTCATTGCTCTGGAAAGACATTTCCTGGACCTCAAGCTCTTAAAACAACTGCGTCTGTAAATACTAATATGTTCCCTCTTAAGTTCCTTTCACTTGTTACATATGTCAATCCTGTCACTACTAATTTATAACTACTGGCCCTAAAATCCTAAACCACCTTAAGGAGATCAATGCTTGGAATGTTATCTTATGGTCATAGTTATTTAACAAGGGTTTTGTTACACTATTTACTATTTTATTTACTTCCACTCTCCTAAAATGTTGTCTAGTTTTGTTTGTTAAGAGTCAAACTTATTTTGACATCTTTTTAGGATGTACTATGCGAAACTTTATGCTGTTATTCATGAGGCAACTTGTTCCGATTTTGTGGTAGTTTCTCTTTAGTGTATCTTGCTCAGTCAAAGCACAAACAATGAATATAAAAACAGTGAATATGTTATAGCACAATTAGTCTTGGAATGTAGAAGTTTGTGTTATGGCCTACTTTGTAATGTTCTTTTGGTCTCTTTTCTGCTTTTGTTTTTTTAGGTTCAGAAATGGCTTAATGAGCTTTGTGAAGAACTTTATGAACGCCTTCAGTGTGACTTGGAGCAGAATAAGCGCATAGCGCATACCTTGACCCTACATGTTTCTGCATACAAGGTTGCTTGTTCAAATTCATGGCTTGTTGTTGTTATTGTTATTACTATTGTGATAATTACTATTACTACTAGTTGTGCTACTAGTTACTGCTGTTATAATTATTTTGGGTTTACAAAACAAATTGATCTGTTGTATTTGTAACTTGGTAGACACATGATGTAGATTCAATCAAGAAGTTTTCTTCAAAGTCGTGCCCATTAAGATATGGGACCACTAAGATCCAAGAAGATGCCTTTTTCCTATTTCAAGCAGGGCTCCGTGAATTTCTTGGCACGTACGATGGTAAGACACTGGCTAAACAACAGTACGTTTGGGGAGTGAGAGGTCTTTCTGTATCAGCAAGTAAAATAGTTCCTATACCCTCGGTGAGTTTAAGCCCTTTTGTATTGTCATATTGGTCTTTTTCCATAGTCCCCTCTATCACTTTCATCAAAAGGTTCTCACTTAATGTTGATATTGAGTATGTTAGGGCGTTGAAATGAATTGCCTTCACTAATATCTAATGGTAGACCAGAGGAGGACATAAGTCACTGCCCCTCCTCACCCCCATCCATTTACTGTTCACACACACATGTACTCTCGTCGTGCATAATACATGTTATCTCCCTTCTTTACATATTGTTGCACTAGGCAAAGGCGAATATTCCGTTATGCTATTAGCCATTAGTTGAAACTCCCTGATAAGGTACTTTGTGTTTTTTTCTTTGAACCCTATATGTATTACCTTAAAAATATTCAATTGGTCACTAGTCGACTTCTTTCATTACTCTAAGAAAAAGGGCACACAGGAATTAGTACAAACCTAGAAGGGTATTCCAAGAAAGTGCATTCAGCTCTAGTCTGTGTTACTTATACAGTCTACAACTCACATTTCTCACCATAAGCATATAAGGATCACATTCACAACACCTCCATCCTCCATTGGTGTAGGACTTCATCAGTAGACATACTTTGAGAGTTGTTCAAGCATCAGGATTGTATACATATTAAATTATTAATCAGAATGTATGTTTGTAAAAGTGGTTTCTTTGTTGGCAGTAAACAAAACAAATAAATATAAAAAATGGCGCCTTATTGAACAGAACTGATGATATTATTTCATGACTCACAAGTCACAATGTGCAAATGTATTAGCCTATCTTACAAATGATCGATAGACTCAAAATTCTAAACCATTACTCCATTAGACAATATTCATGTACAACTATCCATTCTAAAATGTTTTTTTGGCACTTGACAGGGTACACCTTCAATCATGAACTACTTTTCACAAACATGTTCATCATTGACACAATTAAATCAAAGATCAATCCAAGATGGCATACCATTGCCTTCCTCAGGTTCTCTCTGCCTCCATAGCTAGCTATCACCTTTCGTCCTTTCCTGCCTATGTTTTTTTTGTTTGCTCTTTTTCTTAGAGCTATTGAACCTCTCTTTCGCTCAAATGAAAGTTAACCAGGAAGTGGGAACTATTCTTCATTGCACTCTACAGAACCTGGGATTGATTGCCATCAGGAAGGTCAAGAGACTGAATATGAAACACCGGTTTTGGGAATACCCAAAGACGGTGGAGAACCATATACAATCAAGGTTTGTTGCTATACTAATTAATTGACACCATAAACCTCATCTCAATGACCCTAACATAGTAGATATTATGGTACAAGGTGATGACGATGTTGACAATCACTCTATTTTTTCATTTATATAAGTCAAATATTTTAGTTTTTGGGTTATGGTTTCGTGAAGAGAACACAGTTGATATAAATATAACTTACACAGGATGTTCTCTCGTCATCCTATCACTCTGAAGATGGATTCACAGAAGAAACTCCCGCATTTCCATTTTTAGGTAGTTTTGCATTATGTTTCTTGTACCCAGTACTCCAGTAGTAGTAGTATGCTCATTATTTTACCCCATATAGTTTTTATAAATAATCAACACTTCGATCTCAGAGGCTGGAACCTGTTTAAAACTGGAGTCAAGTCAAGCTAACCCGATGCTTGACCTTACAGAAGAACAAACGACAAGCAGTCTGACATCAATAGAGCGGGAAACAAAGTCTTCCAAAAACAGGGTTTGCAAATTCAGTTTTAATAACATTCTAGGGTGCCTTAGAATGACTGTGGAGGTTATCACATCAAAGTAATGGGGCAGTATCTGAGAGTTAAGGGATTGCTATAGTCATTTTAACTTGCACAAAAAGATTATTTAAGCTGAAAATGTAGCTGGCAAGTTGTTATACTTTAGCAAAATGATTAGCTTTATGTGAGGATCTATATGTGTGTGTGTGTGTGTGTGTGTATACAAAAATGATCCTGTCTGAACGTTCGGACAGGATCCTCCGTCCGAACATCCCCGTTTGGGGCCCTTCCCGGTGGATGTGTTTGATGAAATTTTTTGAGCATGTTCTTCATCAAGTGTAGTTTGTCCATATCAAATTTCAGATCAAAATTCGATCGGGAAGGCATTCAAATCATTTTTTGAAGTTGACTGCGTTTTTATATGTATATTTTGACGCAGTCAACTTCAAAAAATCATTTGAATGCCTTCCCGATCGAATTTTGAGCTGAAATTTGGTATGGACAAACTAGACTTGATGAGGAACATGCTCAAAAAAATTCATCAAAAAATTCTACCGGGAAGGGCCCCAAATGGGGGTGTTCGGACCAGGAATGTTCGGACCTGAACATTCCTCTCTCTCTCTCTCTCTCTCTCTCTCTCTCTCTCTCTCTCTCTCTCTATATATATATATATATATATATATATATATATATATACAAGAATTAGTTGTTTACATAAGCAAGCAATGAACTGTTGTGGTACACTGTTCCACTCCTAAATGATATTTTTTTTTATAAATTGGGTCATTAGGTGTTTGCCAGTTATTCCATATGTTTTTTTTAAAATGTATCCAAAAAGAAGTCATGTGTGCAATTGAAATTGAAATACATTTACAATGTTGACATAAGAAATCTACTTTCAAATAAGTATTTTTGTTTTCTTTTATCCTTATGTTGCATTAGGTAACATCTATCTTAGGATACTTCCAAAGTCAAGCTTTCTGCTCATTTCCTGAGGTGAGGCTTGGAAGCCCTTCCAAGGAATGTGGAACATCATCTCGGGGTAATATTCAGTCTTGACATTCATGAAAATGCTCCCTGCCTCCAACACCACCATAGAAAAACAACCTACTTTAATTTTTTCTCGTTGCCTACTCATTTTTATGCATTTTTTTCTTGTCATCTTTCATGCTCCAAACCTTTGCCTAAAGCAGGTACTGGAAGTGTGGATGCAAAAACTTGTCAAAATGATCTGAGGCATGGTGGGAGTTATTACGATTACAATGTAGATGAAATAGACCCAGCAATTGTGAATGAGTTACCACAGGAAATTCAAGATGAAGTGCGTGCTTGGCTTAGGCCTCGCAAACAAGCAAATACAACTACTAAAAAAGGTCCAGATATTACTCGCTATTTCTCTCGAGTTAAAGATGCATAAATGAAGCCTTTGAATAGGCTCCTTTTCTTGAATGTCAATTTTTTACTGAGCACTTCAACAATGATATCACGATTTAGCATTTTAGCTCATAGAGTCGGTAAAGGTAAGTAGTTGTGAATCGTTGTGAGTGATGACAACACAGTTACACAGCCTAGTTGGAGCATGAAGAAAACGCCATGCACGTGGGCTGTTCATGGTATATAACTGTAGTATATGTTTTATTTAAACTGAAATGGTTGGCCTTGTAAAATCCCATAAGCCCATGCTTATTTAAATTGAAACCCTTGGCCTTAGAAACAATGAGTTATGTTTGTCCAATGCAAAACTTTTTATTTTTGTTAAGATATACGTAGTAAAAGATATAAATGACAAAAATAGAGAATCATCATTATTTTGAAAATGTATTTGTATGTTTAACTAAATCTATTATAATTAAGTTATTTGTGACTTTTATTTTGGTAACTTATTGTCATATAACATGAAAATTAGCTTCTAATAATAGTGATTCTTTGGGACAGTAATGTTTGAAAATGTTCTTTTTGCGTTTTCTTTTCGGGACGAAGGTAAAATATTTGGTTAGTGATCAAAAGCCCTTCTAGGACAGGTTGGGTTGGCGACTTGGCGTTTGGAGCATTATAAGCAGCACTGGATTTGGATCACTCTTCCGTAAAGCTAGAATCTAGATCATATATAAGGCAAGGGATCCACTAAAATCTCTTAAATGATTAAACCTTCACATCAATTACAAAGTTCGAATAAACCATAGCAACAAAAGCAAATGTTTCAATCAAATGCTTCATTCTCATCTAAAACATTGAAGTCTAAAAAAAGTTGGAAACCATTAAAACATTGAAGTCTAAAAAAAACTAAAACATTAATGCATCTAACATTATTGGTAACCGTACCGTAATGACGGTTAACTGGGTAATACTTAACCATAATATATGTAATCATTAATTGGTTAACCAAAAAACCCTAAAACCGTTAACATCAACAACCAGAGCAAGTTTAATCATTTATATACCGTGAGATACAAAGTAACAAACTTGGTAGCCGCCTCCTGGAACATACATGGCAGCTCATACACTTGCTCACAATTTTGGATTGTCCCACCAAATCACCAATGATACAAGGGGCATGTTTGGACTCCCGTTGTCCCACCAATGCAGCTCATGCAACATTTTCAGACGGAGAAAACATTTTCACCACTGGTGACATGGATTTGGAATAATAATATCTTAATTTTGGATTCATCGGTTAACCGACGGTATTTGATTTCAAAAATGTAACCGTACTGTGAACCACTCTATTCTTTCGGTTGGTTGACCGTAGCACAAGTTTTTAAAAATACGGTACGATTAACCAAAAATCACCGATTTTTGAGTTATTAACCACGGTTAATCGGTTACGGCCTTTCATGCTCACCCCTACTCGGAGCCTCCTCCAATGGCTCTTTTGACCGTTGGAGAGGGTGGAGCTACAAAATTGTGCAACAGCTTTGTAGGATCATGCGCACCAAATGTATACATTTTGATTTTAATGATAATATTCTAGTGTGTCTTTACATTTGACATTAGATTCTTTTATCAACTTGCAATGAAAATTATAAAATGAATGAGGATAAAAAGTCAAATGATTTTATAGTAAACGAAGTTTACACATGATTCTAAAAATGAGTGTAAGATCCATATAGCTCAAAAATGGGATGCAAAGTAAATTCCCCTTAATATTATGTACCAACATTATATGACCTCTTACCTCAAATCCTACCCTATTAGAACGTGTAATGGTTGTGCTCAAGTGAATGATGTTTCCCTTTACTGCACATTTAATTACCTTTTCCACTTATAAAAATAATAATTGTTGAATGCCAATTTGGATGATTTTATCATTTTCCTATGGGTTTTTTTACAACAATATTACTAAAATAAAACTTATTTATATAAATATGACTATTCATTACTACAACGTAGTGTTATAGTAACTTAGGTTCGAAACTTGACGTGCACCTTGCACCGGTGCACGTCAAAACTTATTTCAGGCGGTCCTGCGGTTCACCATCCGGTCAAGGCTATTTGAAGTTCTGTCTGATAAAAAAAAAATGGATGAAATTTATAAACATATTTTTCATCAAATGTAGATTATCTCCACAAAATTTCAGTTTAAAATCAATCGAAAAGTCATTTAAATATATTATTGAAACATATTGTGTTTTGCACGCACGCACGCACACACCCACCCACACACGCACGCACGCACCCACCCACCCACACCCACACCCACACCCACACACCCACCCACACACACACACAAAATGCAATATATTTCAATAATGTATTTAACCGACTTCCCTATTAAATTTGAATTTTTTTTGGCAAATTCTACTTAATGAAGAACACACCCAAAATATTTCATCAAAAAAATTCACCAGGCAGACCCTCAAATGGGCTAGGCCAGACGATGGTTCTAGTTTGGCGTGCCCGATCAAATCAGTCCTATTGATTTTTTGTTCACCCGAGAGGCAAACTACCTAAGTCGATGGGGTTAATGCCTAGTAACATTTAGCGAATGTTATAACAAATTAACAACACAAAAGATAAACTAATATTCGATACTTTTTCTATTTTTTATCTTTATTTTTTTCCTCTTTTTTTCATATGCTCTTCTACTTTTTCAAGATTATTCATAATTTCTACTATTTACTCCTTAAATATTGTGTCAAGAACTAATTTAGTCATCTTTTAAATAGAGAGGGAGTATTGAAATTGATGGATGGAGATAAATGTATAGTACCATAGAGTGCTTCTGAAACTAAACCTCTGTTTGGGGATGGCTCCCGGAAAGTCTGTCCTCCCCTCACCAGACTCCCTTCAACCAAACATGCGATAGTATTTTGGTTTGGCGGAAATCCATACTATTCATATCGCAGCCGCAGACTTCCATCATGAAGAGAAGCAAACTATTCAGACAGAGTCTCCCCGAGACACCGCCGAGCTCACACATTATTCACTCACCTGCCGGAAAAATCTCATCTTTCTTTCCTTCCAAGAAGAAGCCCTCAATCATCACTCTCCCGACTAAGCAAGAGCCAGCGGATTGGGTCCCCTTAAACCTAGGCAGAACCGAGCTCTACCTTCCGTTGACCTTCCCCACAGGTCAGACCTTCAGGTGGAAGCAGACGGGCCCACTCCAGTTCACTGGCGTCGTAGGCGGGTCCCACCTGGTCTCCCTGAAGCAGCTTGATGATGGGGATGTCGGTTACCGCCGGCACTCCATGGACGATGATTCTGCCGCTGCTGCTGCCGTGGCTGCCCTGCTTGATTTTCTTAACGCGGGTATATCTCTGAGTGAGGTTTGGGAGATATTTAAAGCCTCCGATCCGAGATTCACTGAGTTAGCCGATCATTTGGGAGGGGCCAGAGTGCTCAGGCAGGACCCACTCGAGTGCCTAATCCAGTTCATTTGCTCTTCTAATAACAACATCAAGAGAATCACATTAATGGTTGATTTCATTTCTTCATTGGGGAATTATTTAGGGACTGTTGGAGGCCTTAAATTTTATGAATTCCCGTCCTTGGACCGGCTGTCACAGGTTTCGGAAGCTGAGCTCCGGGAGGCTGGTTTTGGTTATAGGTTAGCCTTTTATCTTTACAATGGCTCTATATTTTCTTCTACTTTACATATGACTTTTCTGCTTTTTGCTCCTTTATTTATCAATCTGTGATACTCAATTGGGTGCACGTGTTAAACCCCGCCACATTCACAAATATATAGATTCAAACTCACATATAAACCTTTGAAGTTTGAACTCCATGTAAGAGTCAATTAAGTTCAAATGAACAATCAATTATAACAAGACTAAAACAACACACATGTTTTAAGAAAGTAACTCATATACAGGTCAAATATAAAGGCACTAGCTCACATTTAACTATATAAGACCTCTGATTACCTGGTGTTTGGTTCATCTATAAAGATGAAACTGCAAGTCCTAATATCATGTCACAAACAATCAGGTATCCCATCTTATAATGTTTTTCCAATGGAATTTAGTTGTGGTTCTTTTGCACTGAAGAGCCACTATTGTTTGAGGTATAATGTTTTTTAATGAAAGGGTTTCATTTTCTAGGTTTGTGAATATGCATATGATGCTGAACTCAATGACGTGTTGTTCTCCTTTGGTACAAACTACATTTGCCAGAAGTGTATTTCTATGCTTCTCTGCATATGCTTTTGAGAGCCATTTCACATGTCATGAACAGTGTTATGAGATAGCTCACACTTCTGTCTCCAACTATAATATAGCATCAGGGGCACTGACATTGGCAAAATGAGAAAACGGCTGTTTTATTTGCCCTAATTTTGAACTGTATCTCTGCATCATAACACATGCATAGTTGTTCCTTTAGGGCAAAGTATTATATACTCTTGAGCTATCTATTAGATAACAAATGTATCAGTCAACTTTCTTTTGGAACAATTAAAACACAAAATTTATAGTGTTTGAACAAAAATACCCACATGTCAAAATATGTGAGGGGTATATATGTTCTCTATTATATATTTACAGATGGAATATGTTCTCTGATATATAGTTTAAAGCGTATAGTTGTTCCAGTGTAATTTTTTTGTGTTCAAAGCATAACACCATAGCCACTGTCATTTGAGGACACAAACAGAGATTATGTGTCTGAAAAAGTAAATGTACACATTTAATGCATTGTAGTGAGTATTTTATTAATTGTTTCTTCTAATATTCCCCTTTACTTTCTCACTATATCCTCTATCTATCACCTTTTACTTTTGTGGAAACTGTTATTTTTTCCTTTTAGAAGAAGGTTACACGTTAAGATAACATTTATCTCTTAAATTTATTTAAACACATGCCAGTGATAGCCCTGTGCATTACCACATTTTATTGGCTAGTTTTTTCTAACTACTTGTGGTCCTTGTGGATACTGGTCAGGGCAAAATATATAACTGGTACTGTTAGGGAGTTGCAATCAAAACCAGGGGGAGGTTATCAGTGGCTTGCATCACTTAGAGGGAGAGATCTTAATGAGGCTGTTGATGATCTTTGTACTCTACCTGGTGTCGGCCCCAAGGTGGCAGCTTGCGTTGCTCTATTTGCATTGGATCAACATCATGCCATTCCTGTTGATACTCATGTCTGGCAGGTAATATTTCTGAGGCTTTAATCTAATCTCCTTTGCTATTTGAGAGACCCATCTCTTTATGTTCTTTTGAGATACTATCCTTCTTGAAAAGCATTGAATAAATAAATTACTACCTTGACTTGGATGACTTAGAACTTACTAACTCGTTATTTCTAGAAGCTATTATAGTGCTTATATAGAGAAATATGTAACTGCGTTAACGGTAAATATGTATAATATTATCATGCATTCATGAATGCTGATCCCACTTAATAATTCCTTATACAGCTTTTATTTATTTTATTATTGATAGATTGCAACTAGGTACCTGACCCCTGAGCTAGCAGGCGCCAGTTTGACACCTAAACTGTGCACTCGGGTGGCAGAGGCTTTCGTGGATAAATATGGGAAATATGCAGGCTGGGCTCAAACTCTTCTTTTCATTTCAGAACTCCCAACACAGAAAGCTCTGTTGCCGATCTCTTTTCAAAACGAAATGCATTCCAATAAACCGAAGAAAAGAAGAATGAGCGGAAATAAGAAGATGCCTACGAGTACTACTCCTACTCCTTGCAGCTAGTGTTTGCAGTGTATATATGTGCAACTCCTATACATACTCAATCGTCTGGTTCATTATTCTTAATTAGAGAGTTGTAAATTCAAAAAACCACAAAAGTAATCGGCGAGTTAGTGGTTCAATTGATATTTATTGTGGAACACACTCGCACACAACCGTTCGCCATTACTGAGTTATTTTTTTGCAAAAACACACGTAATATGAAACCATGTCAAATACTCCGTATCATCTTTGAAGGCAAAAACGGTTGAATGAAATGGTGTATGTTTCAAGAAAATAAATACTAACATCAACACACATCAATTGTTGGCATAAATAACCCATTAGCTTCAGAAAGCCCATTACTGGTCAGGTGAAGCGCTCTATGCTATATGTGGTGTTTTTTGTTGCCATGTTAATCACTTAATCATAAAAGATCACTATGTTTGGTCAAATGAACTCTAGCAACAGGGGTGGATGGTCTGGTCCGGAACTGTTTGGGACTAGTCCTGGACTCGGTTCGGGACACCCGGCCCAGGAACCGGCCCGGCCCGCTACTGTGCGAGACCGGCCCGGCCCGGTGTTGCGGGCCCCAAACCAGGTTATCTTTCAAAAGCGAGGCGGGCTCGGGTCAGTGAAAAGGAGGCCGGGCCCGGTTCGGGCCAAATTGATTTTTTTTTCTTCATTTTTTTGGGTTCCACCCGGTTGGGCTTGATGCTTGATGTTTAGGAGGGGTTTGGGGGGGGGGGGGGGGTCAGGGATACTTAGGAAAGCAAAAAAAAAAAAACAAACCCGAGGCCCGGCCCGGACCCGGTAGCTACCCGGGCCGGTCCCGGGCCCAACTATTCAGAACTGGTGGCCCGCCCGGGCCTAGGCCCGGCCTGGACCTGACCCGGCCCGAATCCAGCCCTATTTGGGACCGGACTGGGGTCCATTTTTCGGTCCTGGGTTCCAATATTTGGGAATGAACCGGGTGGTTTTGGTCCCAGTTTTGGTCCACGGCTGGCCAATTTTTTTTAGCTTGAAACCGGGTAAAAAAATATAACGGGTCCAGAACCGGGACCAGACTACCAGGGTATCCGGAACCGGCCCAGACCTAGAAAATAGCAGGTCGGGTCCGGGCCTCTTCAAAATATTGCTAGGACCATGCGGTCTCAACCCGAAATCGGGACTGGACCGACCCGGGGTCCCGGGTCCACCCTTATCTAGCATTCATGATTGCAATTTGGAACTCGCAAAGCTTGTATTTTGTCACATTCTTGTGTTAAAAATCATTACAATTGCATATATTATGAAATTCTAACTTCATATGAGGCTATGAGCTTTGTCCTTCATGTTTGAAATTTGGTTCAAAGTATGAAATCCTTGTGATCAAAAGTATATAAAAGCCCAGGGTGATTTCAGTCACCATAGGTCATATATAAGATCGGATTTGGGAGTAGTTCAAAGACACAAAATGGAACCTGTTATTTAAAGACTAGAAGGAAAAAACGAGTATGTATTTGGCAAAACAAAAGGAAAATAAATAAAGTGGAACAATTCTGTACTACTCAAGATTTAGAGTTTAAACTCGCATCTTTTGAAAAGGAATTTTCAATTTTCCCATGTAATGACATGTACAGAAAGTGTTGGAAAAAGTTGCATGTTTTGTTCATACAAACTTGTAAATTCTGACCTTGTGCATACCAGCACTGAATCCACAACATATTTTATATATGTTGGTTGACAATAACACATATATGAAAAATCGAATAATACATTCTAAAACTATGATGAATGTACACTTTATCATATACTTTCCTTATCCCAATTTCTATTACGGAGTATTATTCAACTATTGTTTTTGTCATTGCAGAGTAATACAATTCCAGAACAGTTCAGCTTACACTCGTCATGTATATACAAAAAAATCATGAAAAGGGGAATTTTGATAAATTATATTAGTACCTACAGAATGTGAGCAAAGACACAAAATAGTAAGGGAGATCAGGGTTATCGGAGTCGCTCCAAATTCCAATTAAAGGAGCTTGGCGTTCCATTAAGTTGAACCCTATGTAGTATTGTTGGGGAAAAAATAAAACATAATTTACATTTACCATTCCCATCCGGGCAGCAATGAGCCTAAAGAATGAGGAAGTTAGGTGTAACATTGTTTGTTCAAAGTGGTACTAACAAACAAACAACTCGGCTCAGTCCTTCAAACTTTGCCATCATTGCTTATGCTTAGCCATCAAACTAATAGAGGAATGCGTTTATGTACACCAATTTTTTACACTAGACATGTACAGACAGTTGATTTCTCATCAAATAATAGCTGCATGATCCATTGCTTCCTCTCAAAACTGTACTAATTGGAATGGGGACATAGCCCTGAAGTGTGTTGGTAAACATATGCAACTCCTCGTTGAGTTGAATATCAGAAATAACACTTCAGGAGAAGTAACCCGGAGGCCATTATTGGTTGTAGTTGAAACGCTCATTTACTGAAAGGTAACTTTTCATCTCCTCGTTCTATCGCAGCCCGCCAAACCCTATATCTTACTCCCAGCTTATCATACAGAACCGGAATATTCCAGATGTTAGCGCCATTGATCATGCGGTCTTGTTGCCCAATCACAAGCCGCAAATCCTCATTCATGACCTGTAAATTTTCCAGCAGCTGAAGTGAAAAAAAGCAGGATATACCTTCCCTGCCAGTCATTTGGTATGGATGGGATGTGTAGGGAAAATACTTTGCAGAGCACACAATCACTGCTTGGAGAGAGTCTCATCAAAGCTAGCTTTTTTACCAACCCTTGTTGTAGAGGTGGGAACTTAGGAATAGAGATGGATTGGATTAAATGACCTTAAAACTTTGCATACTGAGCCCTAATAGATTCTTTAGGGATTCAGATGTGAAAGAAATCATTTTATCCACTAATAACGGGAAAATTAATATATTACACAATCACACTCGATTTCCACAGCTACAAATAAAGGGATAAATACTTACTTGTGCTCTTCAGCCCAAACTGGACTGAATAACTCAAGGATATGAATAAAAAAGCCTGAACAGCCCACCACTAACTTTGCGTGACAAAGAAACAAACCACTAACCGGATACCATTTTAAGACATGAATTTTTATCCCTAAAAGGCGAACCTCATAGAGTCATAGGAGGAATGGTCCGAAATCTTATAAGTTGGTTTATTATTTTATATTCAAATGATGTGGGCCAAACACTTTAACAAACTCTATCCCGTGACATGCTCTAATTGAATGTGACCATTAAAAAGAAGTAAAGAAAAAAAACAAAAAAATCAAATAGTCAATCGCCAACTATTCTGCTATGCACATAAAACTAATACACTATGGAGCATGTGAAATAAAACTTGGCTGGCAAATTTAAAATGTGCCGCCAGAACCATTGAATGTGTCGGCTTCAAGGGGTAAATTTTCACTTATGAATAGAATATTACCTGCTTAGCTAAGTGCTTCCACAAATATTGCATGAAGGGGAAGTGTTTGAGCATCGGGGCGAAATCCAGAGACATCCTATATAATAACCTTGTCTTCTGCGTTGACGAAGGTAAGCACACATGTAGTTGGTGAAGGTGTGTAGCACACTGCTTAGTATTCTTCCCCTCCAGTTTGCCAGGCTTCGATAGTCCAATAGTAGATAAAACCATACAAGGCGGTCGAAATTCCATATCAATTGGATATGGATCCCAGTATCCTTGTAGACCACATTCAGGGGTCAAAAACTTCACCAAGCTGAAAATAAGAAAAAATTCAACCAGAACAAAAAAAAAAGTTAGCTAAATTTGATTTCAAATTTGGGAAGTGGAGAGGGTGCAAGGAGCATGTTGAACCATTTTTAATGAAAGTGATAATACTACATGGACTTTGTTAGGATGGTGTAGCCATTTTGTCACTTTCGTTTCTTTCTTTTGTAACTTAAGTTTTTATTGTAATGAGCATCAAAGTTCGATAAAATGTTCAAACATTCGTTTTGAAACAAATACAAATGAGAAGTTCGGATAACCCAAAAGTTGTCATTGAACTTGGAATAGAACGACAGTGAACTGTCCATTTTTACATATTCTGTTCAAACAAAGTATATATCAAAGACTTTAGATATGTACTACGGAAGGGGATTTTTGTCGAGCGCTATGTAGGCGTTGAGTTAGTCTAACTCTTGTCATGGACTTCAAACACAATTGGGAAGGCAGTACAGCAGAGTAGCATTGAAGCATATGAAAACAACATGAGAAAAGTTCACCTCTTCTTGCCTCGTGAATATCATAGAGAAAAGTCAGCCTTGTGAAAACATGAGAAAAGTTGACCTCTTCTACAGTAGATGAAAATAATGCTTAACTTTCTTCTTTCCAAATAAAGTACGGAGTATGCCATATTTATTGGTAGCACACAAGTTCTACGCATGGTGTATTATATTGTGTATGCGGACAGCTTTATCAGTATGGAGCAAGTGCAGGTGCAATTCTTTTTCGCACATTATATACAGATGTAGTTTGATACTTCTCTATTTTTGTTACTCCCAATATTTCTCCAATTATGGTATAGTAATCCGTACTTGTTAGCCTATGCATACCTCCAAAATCACGGAGAGCATTACACTGAGTTACACTAAATAGCCTTTTGAGTGCTTCTTCAAAGAGAAACTAGCATATTCTAATGTTTCGAGTTAACTGGCATTAACTTGTAAATAAATACTAAATCTGCACCGCAACACCCCTTTATACAGAAGGTAATCATTGTAACATACTAACGTTCCAATTTAAGAGAACCTAACTCTGCGCCAATAACCCCTCTAGACAAACATACGTAAAACAAAGGAAAACCCAGACCTCACCTGTCAGTCTAGTCAAAATATGTGATTTGACCTTATTGCCTTAACAGTATAACATCTGATAGTGTTTTGTCCAAATATTGCTATGAAAAAACCAGCTTGAAATTGATAAAATTTTAGCTAAAACACACTTCTGATTTGGCTATACCTTATTATTACGTCCTGACAATGATTGCAGTAACACTCTAATTCGTGATTGATTATCAAGACTTGTGAGAGCTCGAGCAGTGCATCATGGTTCACGAACTAAGTATTACTCTATCGTGTTTGTGTAATTGTTCTTATGCAAATTACCATTATTTAATATATGTATTCACTAACTAATTACGGAGTATTATAGAGCATTCCTAAAATTATTATATAAGCCTGTCAATGAAAGCAAACCTTGGTACACTCCATCCTTTAGCAAAAGTTGAAGTATGCGTGAAAGGAGCATGTGCAAGATCCAAAAGGTTGTCTAAAAG